CACGCTGGTCTAGCGCCCTACTCTCTTCAGCACTGGCGCCGCTCCCAGCAACAACAGCAGCCCTGCTCGAGACTTCCTCACTTTCTATTCAGGGCCAGGTCCTTGCCTCACCGCCGACAGCCCCCATCCCCACCAAGGCAATCCTGTCGTTCGATACTTCCTTGTGCTTTACCCTTCGCTGGGGTTCCACTGGCGGTCTCGCATCGGCGCAGCAAGGCGCGGGCATGTGTTTTCGAGGCGGGATATGTTAAAATTCCTCGGAGGAGGTGTTTGCAAGACCTCATTGGGCGGGAGATCTGGGAATGGAAATAAAGTTGATGGTCGCATGCTTCGTGTGGAAACATCGCACAGAAGGGTACCATGATTGTTATTGTTGTTGTTGTAGTTGTTGTTGGTGTTGTTGTTGTTTTGGTTGGTGTTATGGTTGTTGTTGTTGTTGTTGCTGTTGCTGCTGCTGATGCTGTTGTTGTTGCTGCTGCTGTTGTTGTTGTTGTTGTTGTTGAATTTTCACTTCTGAAGAACAATTATTGTTGATCCTCCCTTGTGACGGATGTGGTGTCTCTTTCAATGGATGTGCCCTTCCCGGGGCTAGCCCCTGTTTTTTTATCAGGGGAAGTCTTCCTTCTCAAATTGCATTGTTGGCCCTCGGGCTACAGCAACCATAACAACAACAACGGCTCCAGCTTGATACTTCCGCGCAGTTTACTAAGGAATCGCGCTCTCGCGCGGGATCTCCTCACAATTTTTACCGAAATCGCGCTCTAGCGTGGGGACTTTCTCACAATTTATTCAGGCGCCACGCCCTCGCCACGCCATTCAGAAATCGCGTTCTCGTCTGGGAATTCCTCATCATTTACCTAGGAACCGCGCTCTCGCCCGAGATTTCTTGGCGAATGATGTAAGACTCACGCATTCGCGTAACATACGTGTTTTTTTGAATTGAAGTGTCCCTCCAGGGGCTCGCAAAGTTTTTACCGGGGGAAGTCTTCCTGCTCAAACTGTGCCCCTGGCCCACGGTGTACAACAACAGCGGCTCCCGCCTGATATTTCCATACAACGTATTCCCACATCGCGCTCTCGCGAGAGTTTTGCTCATACTTTTCTGCATGAATCACGCGTTCGCGTGGGACATCCTTGATGTTTGTTCGACGCCACGCCCTCGACACTCAGGAATCAGGCTCTCGTTCTTGATTTGGTCCCGATTTATTGGAGAATCGCGCTTCCGCTCGAGACTTCCTCACGACTCTGCAGGACGCACGCTTTGGCAACCCGCCTGCTCGATGTGGCCGTCTAGGTCCGCCTTCCTGACCCGCCCGTTAGGGTCTACCCGCCCAATCTGCCCGTCTGGTCCTGTCATGTGTTTTCTGCTCCCAGCCCCCCTCCTGCTATTTTCTCTCGTGCTCCATCTTCCTCCCTTCCTTGTGTCCCTTTCTTCCATCCGTCCTCTCTGTCCCTGCCTTAGGGGCTGCACGAAATACACGTTGCAGGTAAGAAAGATGTACAACCCGAAGGGAGTACGATCGAAGACGAAGAGGGTGGGTATCGAGGGTTTGGGATACACGTGTTGAATTGCACGCGATCAGGTAAGAGCGAACAGTCTTAGACAATGGTCGAGTTCTCATTTCTGAGAACATAATTGCTGTTCATCACCCCACCCCAGTAACAATTCTCTTAATTCAAGTGTTTCCCCCAGAGCTCGTACCCTGTTTCTTTACAGGGGAACACGAGGTGCCACCAAACTGCGCCCTTGACCCCCGGTTTGCAACAACAGCGGCTCCCGCGTGATATTGCCTCACAATTCATACCCACATCGCGCTTTCGCGCGGGACGTCCTCATAATGTGTACAAATCGCGCTTTCGCGTGGGATTTCCTGGCAATTGGTTCAGACGCCGCGCCCTCGACACTCAGGAATCACGCGCTCGCTGTGGATTTCTTGACGATTTACTTGGGAATCGCGCTGTCGCTCGAGATTTCCTCGCGATTCATGCAGGACGCACGCTTCGGCAACCCGCCTGCTCGATCTGGCCGCCTGGGCCCGCCTTCCCGATCCGCCCGTTGGTGTCTACCCGCCCGATCTGTTGGTTCTGCCACTTGCTTTCTGCTCCTAGCCCCCCTCCTGCGATTCTCTCTCGTGCTCTCTCCTCCTCCCTCCCCCTTGTCCCTTCCTTCATCCGTCCTCTCTTCCCTTGCCTTAGGGGCTGCACGAAATACACGTTGCAGGTAAGAAAGATGTACAACCCGAAGGTGGTACGATCGAAGACGAAGAGGGCGGGTATCGAGGGTTTGGGATATACGTGTTGAATTGCACCCGATCAGGTAAGAGCGAACAGTCTTAAATAATGATCGATTTTTTTCAGCTGAAAACATGATCGTTGTTCATCACCCCGCCCCAGTAACACTTCTCTTAATTGAAGTATTTCTCCCGGGGCTCGCACCTTGTTTTTTTTATAAGGGAAAACGAGGTGTCACCATACTGCGCCCTTGGCCCCCAGTTTGTGAAAACAGCGGCTCCCGCCTGACACTTCCTCACAATTTATTCCCGAATCGCGCTCTCGCGCGGGAAGCCCTCACAATTCATACAGAAATCGCGCTCTTGCGTGGGACTTCCCCACAATTTATGTAGACGCCGCGCGTTCGACACTCAGGAATCTCGCTCTCGTTTTGGATTTCCTGACGAGTTATTTGGGAGTCGCGCTGTCACTCGAGACTTCTTCGCGATTCATGCAGGGCGCATGCTTCAGCAACCCACCTGCTCGATCTGGCCGCCTGGGCCCTCCTTCCCGACCCGCCTGTTAGGGTCTACCCGCCTGATCTGCCCGTCTGGTTCTGCCCCGTGTTTTCTGCTCCTAGCCCACCTGCTATTCTCTCTCGTGCTCCATGCTTCTCCCTGCCACTTGTCCCTTCCTTCCAGCCGTCCTCTCTTCCTCCGGGACTCCATCCGGACCGCTGCCAGTATCGATCCTGAGAACTGTCAACATACGCTAATCACTGGGAGAACTGATCCCTGCCTTGGGGGCTGCGCGAAATGCACGTTGCAGTTAATATATATATATATACATTTGTATATATATATATATGTATATATATGTATATGTACGATCTACCCCCAAGGGGGTACGGTCGAAAACGAAGAGTGCGGTATCGAGGGTTTGGGATCTACGTGTTGAATGGCACTCGAGCGCATAAGGGCGAACAGTCTTACAAACATGCAAACATTGTTGTTGTGGTTGTTGTTGTTGTCGTTGTTGTTGAACTCTCACTACTGAATACTAGTTATTGTTGATCCCCCTCCGGTGACCATTGTGTTTTTTCAATTGAAGTGCTTCCCCCGGGGCTCGCACCTTGTTTTTTAGCAGGGAAAGCCACAAGGCTTAAACTGGGTCCCTGGCTCCCAGTTTAAATCAACAACGGCTCCCGCCTGATACTTCCTCCCAATGTATTCCCAAACTCTCGCGCGGGATTTCCTCACAATTACGCATTGCGCTCTCGCGTGGGACTTCCCCGCAATTTATTCAGACGATGCGCCCTCGGGGCTCAGGAACCACGCTCTCGCTTCGGTTTTTCTCACGATTTACTTTGGAACTGCGCTATCGCTCGAGACTTCCTCGCGATTCATGCAGGACACACGCTTCAGCAACACGCCTGCTCGACCTCGTCGCCTGGGCCCGCCTTCCCGACCTGCCCGCTATGGGTCTACCCACCCGATCTGCCCGTCTGGTTCTACTTGTTTTCTGCTCCTTGCCCTCCTGTTAACTTCTCTCTGCTCCATTTTTCTCCCTCCCCGTTCCACCAGTCCTCTCTTCCATTGTTTAGGGGCTGCACTAAATGCACGTGGCAGATGAGGAAGATATACCCCAAGGGAGTACGATCGAAGACGACGAGGGCGGGTACCGAGGTTTTGGGATACACGTATTGTTTGCACGTGTTCAGATAGGAGCGAACAGTCTTAGACAATGATTGTTGTTGTTGTTGCTGTTGTTGTTGATGTTGTCGTTGTTGTTGTGGTTGTTGTTGTTCTTGTTGTTGTTGTTGTTTTTTGTTGTGGTGGTGGTGGTAGTTGTTGTTGATGTTGTGATTGTTGTTCCTGTTGCTGCTGCTGCTGTGGTTGTGGTTGTGGTTGTGGTTGTTGTTGTCGTTGCTGCTGTTGTGGTTATTGTTATGTGTGTGGCTGTTGTTGTCGTTGTTGTTGATGATGTTGTTGTTGAGGATGTTGTTGCTGCTATTGTTGCTGTCGTTGTTGTTGTTGCCGTTGCCGTTGCTGTTGCTGTTGCTGCTGTTGTTGTTGTTGTTGTTGTTGTTGTTGTTGTTGTTGTTGTTGTTGTGGTTGTTGTTGTTGGTGTTGTTGTTGTTGTTGTTGTTGTTGTTGTTGTTGTTGTCGTTGTCGTTGTCGTTGCTGCTGTTTTTAGTTGTCGTTGAAAACGACGGGTTTCAGACGCCGTCCTGGGGGAGGGGGGGGCGCGTATCGTGGGGGGGGGGCGCTGCACCTACGAGATTCTTGTGGGAACCTTGACATTTCTGGATCTTGGGGATGCCCTTGGATTCCTGGAGAAACCTGGGCATTCAAACGGATTCGTACGGATGTGTGCGGCGTTTTTTGGATTTGTGGGGGATTTCGAGGATCCTTCAGGATTCCTGTCGGATTCCTGAGGATTTCTGAAGGAGTCCTCGGGGAACCTGGGGATTCCTGTGGATTCCATCGGATTTCTGTCGGATGGACTGCTGGCGATCCCAATTTATCCTGACATTTTAAATACCCACCAGGATTCCAAAGGATTCGGGAGGGTTTCTTTCGACTCCTGAGGATTCCTTGGGGATCCTTCTGGACCCCCCAGGAATTCCAAGGAATCTATGGAAATCCGTAGGAATCTATAGGAAGCCATCGTAATCCTCGGTACGATGCGGCGCGGCCAGTGCAATAGCACTCCCCGCACTGGCCCGCCGCCTAGCGCGCTGGCCCATACAGATGTTTCCTCGCCGGCGTCCGACCGCCGCTCTTCAGGTGCTGCGGATCGTGGGGGAGAAGTGCCAGCCGCGCGTGTGGGCCGCCGTTCTGCGCCTCTGGTGCCACGGGTGGTGTACGAGCACACGCTTTGGCGGCAATGGCCCTTGCCAGTTTGGATGCCGCGCAGGTCAAGATAGCGTTCGCCACCTGGCATTTTGCCCAGTCGTGCGCGCCCTTCCCGGCGCCTCATCCCCCCCAGCCGCACTCGCCCTCGATTGTTTCTTGAATTTGGGCGCTCAGGGGGCTGACCCAGCTGCCATTGTACAGTGGGCTCTCCATGTCTACAGCCTTTACCGGGTGCACAATGCACGTCGGCATGGGCACCTGGATGTAGCAGACTTCGCAGGAGCTTACCGTGAGTATGTGCGCGAAGGGGCCCGGGGCAGAGAGCAACTATCGGAAGAAATTGTGGTTGCTCATGCTCGCTAGCTTCCTCTCTCCCTCTGCTCTTTGCTTCTCCGTCCTCCTCCTCATCTGCATTCCCGGCGCTGCGGGGAGGGGGAAACGTTACGAATTTCCCCCCCCTGGATTGCGCTCGCGGTGTAGTTGTTTCAGAGTGTCGCCCCAGAGTTTCGGCCACGTTCGCAGGACAGCCCTGCTACGTGTGCGGTTGCTTTGCGAGCTCCCGAGTCCGGGGCTATTGCAGTTTTTTTGTTGGTTGTTTAGGGGCCCCGGTGCAAGTCAGGAGCGAGCTGGCAACACTTTGTCTTACAGCCCGCTCCAGCTCGTGTGTTCTTTGTTCTCCTCCTCCTCCTCCCCCTCCTCCTCCCGCTCGGAGTCGCCGTGCTTTTTGGTCCAGGCTGGCTGGGGGATTCGAAGTCTGGCACAGCTCTCGACCCAGCCTGTCCTAGATGATCGGCTTTGGCTTTCTCGGATCGCTCCTGCGAGACAGTCGGAGGCTGGACGGCACGAGGACGCCCTCGTAGCATCCACAGCCCGCTTGAAGCATCCTTCCCCCCTCTTCTCTGTCCTCCCGCTCTTGCCTCCCGGAGGCGTAGCTCCGGCTTGCCCTGCTGGGGTGGGCCGGCTCTCCGCCTCCTCTGCCTGTCTCTTCCTCGCTCCCCCCCGAATCAGGCAGCCCCATGCCCAGTGGAGGTTTGATGGGTGCACGCTGCAGGCTCAGTTCTTCTATCCCCCCTCTTTGCGTCTCCTTCCCTCTGCATGCTCGGATTTCCAAGTAGTTCGCTGTTGTTCATTTCGTGTTTCACTTCGGTGCGCCATTTTCGTGAGGATCTCTCCTCACTGAGCGCCAGCCCTCGCGGGCTCGGCCCGGGTGATTCTTGTCACTCCCTCCTCCTCCTCCTCCTGCTCCTCCACCTCCTCTTGCTCTGCACGGGTACTGTAGCATGGTGCTTCTGGCTCCAGGTGTGGTTGCATTGATTCGTTTAATGTAGGCTTTATGTTGGTCGGCTGGGTAGGCCCTGGGTTGCATGAGCCCTCACTGGACGTCGAAGGCCGTGGGCGGATGCATTGCGGTATGTCGTGTATTTCTCTTCTCCCCTCGCTCTCCTCCCCTTCCTCCTCTTCCTCCACCTCCTCCTTCCGCATTTGCGGGCCGTAATTCGTGACATTTTCGTTGCGTGTTACCGCGTTTGCGGACCGCGCTTGCGGGCCGCAGTTTCGATTTTGGGTGTACCGGCCTATCCTCGATTTTAGGCCCCTCCCCGACGAAGCTTGTCACAGTTAGCTCTTTTTGTTTGCGTAGGTTTGTCCAGAGTGAACGTCGATGGGGCGGAAACTCGGGCAGTTATCCCGGCGCTGGGAGTCAAAACTGTGTACAGCTTTCGTTGCGTTGCTGAACTGAAAAAAAAAAGGAAACCATCGTAACCCTCAGGGCCCCCTCGGAACTATTAGGAATCTCCAGGAAGTCAAAGGGGTCCCCAGGAATCCATATGGCCCTTGGGGAATCCTTCGGCAACTGCAGGAATCTTCAGGGATCGGCTGGAATTCTCAGGGTCCTCCGAATTTGTCAGGGATCAATCGGAATCTGCAGGAAACCATCGGAATCTTTCAGAATCAGTCAGAAACCGTAGGCATCCGCAAGAATCCTTTGGCATCCGTAGGAACCCATAGGAATCCACAGGCATCTTCAGGCACCCATCGGATTCGCAAGGGATCTGGATGAGTCCGCAGGAATCCCCGGGAATCTTTCGGCCCTCTTCATGACCCCCCAGGAAATTTTCAGGAAGCCATGGGAATCCCCAGGAACCTTAAGAACCAACAGGACTCCACAGGGATCCGCAGGAATGTGTAGGAATCCGTAAGAATTCTTAGGAATGCCTGGTTAGCACTGTGTAGGACTGCAATGGAAGTCCGAGGAATCCATCGGGATCCCTCTGGGTCCATGGGGATCCTCAGGAATCCTTGGGATTCCGTATGAATTCCTAGGGATCCTCAGGAATCTTTAGGACTCGCTCGGATTCCTCAGAAACCTATGAGAATCCGAAGGTAGACATCGGAATCCACAGGAATCCATAGGAGGCCGTGACAGTTGTTCAAAGAAAACCCAAGGAATCCCCAGGAATCCTTAGGGTCTTTAGGGGTCCATGGTAATCCCCAGTAGTCCAGACGCATCAGTAGGAACACAGGAAAATCCCCAGGAATTCCCAGGAATCTTTTGATTTCTTGAGACTCTTCAGGAATCCCACGGGATCTCCAGGAAACATCAGGAATCAGCATGCATCCCTTGCAATTTGTAGGAATCCATCGGGATTCTCAGGAATGAATTGGAATCATTAGGCAGCCCGAGGAACCCTGAGGAATCTTCAGGAACTCATCGGACTACACAGGAATCCCCAGGCAACCCTAGGAAACCCCAGGAACCCATGGGAACTCGAACGAATCCGATGGAATTCTTGACGCTTCGCCCGTAGCCCGGGTTGACCTTTGACGCCGCATGCGCCTTCGCTTGCGGCTGCGACGGAAAAAGTAACCCCACCAGTACCCTAGCGTCCCGATGACTTGCGCGTCGACCAGCTCCAGCCAGCATGCTCGCATGTTCCTGGCCCCTGGTCCCCAGACATTGCCACAGCCTGGCCGTGTTTGCAGCTGCCGCCTTGTAGTGGTGGGATGCACCTCCACGTGGATTGCTCATGAGTGGTTTAGCCTTCTTGTTCAGCCACCTGAGGTTACCACTGTTGGCATGCGACACAGGTGCGCTGGGCTGCTTGCTCAGCCCCACGCTATGCCGTGCTTTGCTCGTGTGGCTCGTTTACTTCTGGCGCCTGGCGCGACAAGGTACAATGCGTTTGCCTTCCCGGTGGTCTCGCCCCTGGAACGGTTGCACTTCAGCCGCCTGGCACACCTGGCACCTCTTGCAGCTCTGCCTTCTGTCCCTGGCGTCGCTCCTCGGTGTCCCTCGGCGGCAGTTTCGGCGGCCGTTAGTTCGCGCGCTTAGGTAATTGGGTTTGGGTCGTAGCCCGGGCTGACTTCGGACGCCGCATGCGCTTTTGCTTGCGGCCGCGACGGAAACAAAAACCACCAGTCTTTTTTTTAGCTTGTGGCACGGCCTGCCCCTGCTTGCACGGCGTTCGACTCGTTTCGCGCGCCCGCGTACCCAGAAGTAACCCCGCCAGTCCATTCAGAGACGATGCCCAGAGGAGTTGTCTCGATCAGGGAACTGGGCAGCATTCAGAGGAAGGGTCCGTCTTGGAGCGCTCCTGGGGGCCTCTTGGCGGTCCCCGGGGCCTCTTGGAGCGTCTTGGGTGCCTCGGGGAGCCTCTCGGGGCCTCTGGGGGTCCTCTTGGGAGCCTTTTGGATCCATATTGGGCGCCTCTTGGGGCCTCCTGGGCGCCTCTTGGGGCCCTCTTGAGGCGCTCTTGGGAGCTCTTGGAGCGCTTTCGGGGCCATCTCGGAAGAGGTCGCTCAAAACAGGGGGGACCTCCAATTGCGCCCCCCCTCGTGAGCCCCCCAAATCGCCTCGCGGACCCCTCTTGGAGCGCTCTTGGGGCAGTCTTGTGGCTCTCTTGGGCCTACCTTGGGGCTCTTAGGGGCCCCTTTGGAGCTGTCTTGAGGCTTCGGAAGGCCATCGAAAGCCAAAAGGCGAGAAAACCAAATTCATGGAATCGCCTTCTGTTTTTAAATCATATTGGACTCTTGGCGGCCTCCTGGGGATGTTCCTTGGCCACTTGGAGCCGTCTTGGAGCGGTCTTGGGGCCTCTTGGAGCATCTTGGGAGCCATCTGGAACCATCTTGGGCTATCTTGGAAATCATACAGGGCTTCTTTGCGGCCCTCTTGGAACCATCTATGGACGGTCAGCGGTCATCTATGGATGGACAGCTACTGGAAACCGAAACCGACCCCATGTGCGCGACGCTGGGGCGACGTGCGCCATGCGTCCCGGGCGCGCCACGCGCGACGCGCGCGCCAGACACCCCTGGGGTTCGAGCGTGCCAGGCACGCCTGGTGCGCCAGCTGCGCCACGTGTTCCGCGTGCGCCATGTGTGCCGCATGCCCCAGCCGCGCCGGGTGCGCCACGTTCGGGGCACGTGCGGAGTGTCTCGGGTGCGCCTACGCACGTGACAGCATATTTTTGGAAACATGTCGACCTCCACCATCCTTGTCGAAAACCACTGCCCATCATTGTGTCAGGTGGGCTTGCGCACAAAAAACCATACGCCCCCCCCCCCCCGCCGTCTCTGTCAAAAACCAGTTGACTGTGATCGCGGGGTGGCCGCGCATGGTCCAGATTTAGCTGCGAGGTGCATTTCTATATTTTTTTGTCAGGGCTGGTAGCCCTGCGCGCAGCAGACAATATGCTGACACTCCTGCCGTCCCTGGCAAAAACAACAAAAACAACACGAAGTGCTCGCGGGCCTCAAGAACACGACTCAAGACTTTGCCCCAAAGTGTACTTTGTCTTGTTTTTGACAGGGATGGCGTGGGCGGCCGCATCGGGTTGGCCGCGCATGTTCCAAATGTGAAGGCAAGTTGTGTTTTGTATTATTTTTTGACAGGGGAGGTTGGGGGGGTGAGCATGCTGTCCTCATTGTTCCTGGTTGGCTGCCGGTCGCCTGGGGGAGGGGGTGTATACTTAAAGGGAACAATGATCAGCGCCTCCCCGAAGGGGAAGAAGGGGGTTGGAAAAGAAAACTCTCTAGACCACCTGCGCCCAGAGGGCTGGTGGGATTTTTAGAGACCTCCCCATGAAATCACCAAGACTCCTTCATGCATCTTTCGGAATCCTGCAGGAATCCAGAGGAATCCTCAGGGATCCTCAGGAATCCAGAGGAATCCGCAGGATTCCTTCAGGAATTCATGGGAGTTCTTCGGAGTCCTCAGGAACCTTCACGAATTCATCGGAACCCTTCAGGATCCCAAGGGATCCTCGGGGGTTCCCTGGGATTCCGATGGATTTCTGGCCTCGAACAGGGCGGGATGCGGGGAATGTCGGCGGTTGGCCTGACCTCGTGTGGCCTGAAGTCGACGGCGAGCGTCCGAGTCGGCCCTCTAGCTTCGCCTCCCCTTGGCCCTTCGCGAACGAGGCAGTTTGGGCGAGCGGGGAGGGAAGAGGGTCACGTCCCGATCCTGTGAGGGCAGCGGTAGCTCGCCATACCTCGGGCGCCGACATCTCTCGATGCGGAGCTATCGACCGCATCCCTGAGACCCTTGGCTTCGCCCTGGGGCCGTCTTCGGATGGCACCCAGGGCCGAGAAGCGGCCCCCCAGCGGCCCAGTCGGCGGGGAGCCGCCCGTCGTGGCTCTTCCCGCGACGCCAGACTTCTGGCGGCGTCGGCGGCGCCAGCGGCGGCTGCGGCGGCGACGGCGACGGCGAGGGCGGCGGCGACGGCCACGTGCAGCCGCTGGCTTTCCCGGCGCGCCCGCGCCCGCTTGCTCGCGGCCGCGCGGTGCGGCCGGCCGATGTCGCCCCGCCAGCGGGGCTCGCTGCTCGGCGCCCCGCGCCCCCAGGCGGCCCCGGGGGGGAGGGGAGAGGGAGGGACCCCAGGGTGGCAGCAAGAGTGCAGGCCTCGCAAGTCGGAGTCGATGCATCGCCGTCGTCGCCGATCCATTGCCAAGGCGTCGGCGATGCATCGGTGATGCGGTGCGATCCTCCAACCCTATCTACTCGGACCCCACTTGTGAGGTCTCCAAAGAGTCGTGGAAGCGCAGCCGTGGATTCATGCGCATATGGCGCGCTCCGTCGCCCAGTCAGGTCACAGTGGCTTCATGCTTCTGGGGATACCTTCCCTGATCTGTAGATCTGGCACCCACGCGCCAGATACACGGATAGCTAATCCATGTCAACGTGCGCCCGATTTGGAAATGTAGCTAGACAGGTGGCTGGGTAGGTTAGTCCTCCCCTTATGGCGCTGCTTGGCTCAAGTGTTACATGAGCCTCTGACGAGTGGGAGTATCATGCACTCACCTTTCGTTGCAGTCGCCCCGCGTAAAAGACTTCTGTCAAGTTTGCAGGAGGACATGGTCGTCGTCATCGCCATCGCTGTCGCTATCGTCGTAATGGTTGCGGTGTTCGTGGTAGTGGTGGTCGATGATGATGATGATGATGATGATGATGATGATGATGATGATGATGATGATGATGATGATGACGAAGACGATGACGATGCCGATGCCGATGACGATGACGGTGATGATGATACTAATGATGATGATGCTGATTCTGATAACGATGATGATGCTGCTGCTGCCAATGATGATGATGATGCTGATGATGATGATGATGATGATGATGATGATGATACTGGTGGTGGTGGTGGGATGATGATGACGACGATGATGATGATGATGCTGCTGATGATGGTCATCATCATGCTGATGCTGCTGCTGATGATGCTGATGACGATGA